GAAGAAAAACCTCCTGAAGTGCATCTGAAGGTGGCAAACACCCTCTCAGTATAAACTTACAGATTCAGGGACTTTTATCCTTCCAAATGACCCATTAGTGGCATTGTCAAATATGCGGTTTCAGTTGATACCAGTAAGCTGGGAAGTACTGAGGATATTACTCTAAGATGGCAATTATTCCATTTCATTTGTGTTGTTTTTGAATTCAATTAGTTTGAAATTATGTTTTTGTTTTATTTCCTCTTAGTAGTTCCTTGATTTAGACTGTAGATAAATGGAGTTTAAAACCTGTAAGAATGTTTGAAAAGAAGCTAGATAAAAGAAAGTCTTTTTTTTAATTGTAATTGCTATAATTGCTGAGGATCATCTTGGATTTACGTAGGCATTTTATATTTTTTGTTTTTTAGCATATTCAGTTTTACATTTGTTGTTATAATTATTTTAACATTTATTTGGGGAACATCTATGACATAAGTATGATTTATGCAATCCCTTGATATTAAATGTGAATGCTGTCTACAACACCTGCTCAGATTGTTGGTAGAAATTACATTTGGTAGCTTTAACCCATTAACACGGGGTAAAAAAAATTGGCTAGTAGCCATTAATGCAGGATTGTTGGCACAGATTGACAGTTTCTCCAGATTGCGCCCATCTCATTCAGTAGTTTGCAGCAACATTACACACCTAAATATGTTGATATCATTAAAAAAATAATGATAATAAAAAAAAAATAAAAATAAATAAATATATGGGAAGGACTATCTTCACTTTAGGTGCTATTGCCCAAAAGTTTCACTATAGAAATGATGCCACTACTATCAGAAAAAGACAAGCTCTGTCCATTGAGCTTATGGTGCGTGAGTGGTCCACGACAGCCATGGAATGTGTGTACATGCCACCTGGCGGGAAGTGGTTAATTATCGTCACCTAACAAAACAAAGATTGAATAGATTTGATTCCAGATTGAGCTCTTCTGTTTTACTATAAAGACTTTAAAATTTAAAACTGCTGTATATCTGCTCTGATTGTTGTCTGCTCAGTGCTGGTCTAGATATTGTTTGAAATTCATTTATGATGTCTTTAGCATTTTTAAGAAATG